TTTCTATTTTGATGACAGACACCCTGGCCAGTGCAAGGTGATATCTCATTGTGGTTTTATTTGCATTCTCTGTTTAGTGACACACTGAGGACATCACACTGAGTGAATGAACCAGCCACAGCAAGACAAATACTGCATGTGTCCACTTCTGTGAGGCTTTCAAAATAGTCAAGTTCGTGGAGACAAAAGCAGGATAAAGGCCTGGGAGAGGAAGGAAATAAGTTGCTAATCCAAGTTTGTAAACTTGCAATCAGGCTAGATGAATAAGCTCTAGGGACCGCTCGTAAAATATCACTGCTGTAGCTGACCACCCTACATTGTACACTTAAAATGCTGTGATAAGAGTATATCTTTTATTAAGCATTTTATTAGTATGTGTTTGCAGTCTATAATGACCATAGTCTTCACAGGACCTATACATACGTGTCCTCTCCCCCCTACAGTCCTATCTCCCTCCCCTCTATTTCCATTTTTCCCTTCAATTCTTTTTTTCTTTCTATCTCCTTTTCCCCCATCTCATGGTCTCCTTCCCATATGAACAAGTTCTTCCTACTTCCTGAAGTCTGTGCTCCATTTCGCTCTATATTTATACTTTGGGTTTTGCACACAAGAGAAACAGTGTGATATTTAAGCCTATGTGTTTGATTTATTTCACTTAAGATTGTGCTCTTGGGATACATCAAAAAATGACTCAAGTTCATCCTTCTTAAAGGAAGAGTGATACTCCATTGTATATAAATATTGCAGTTTTTAATCCATTTGTCTGTTGGTGGACATATAGGTTGTTTGTGAGATTTAGATAAGAATTGTACTACTATAAACATGAATATGTATATATCACTATGGCCTGACAACTTTAACTGTTTCAAGAAGATACCTAGAAGGGGAAACAGTAGGTCAAATAGAACCTATAGTTTAAGTTCTTTGAGGAATCTCCATATTGCTTTCCACAGTGATTGTACCAGTTTACACTCCCACCAACACTGGAGAAGCAATCTTTTCCACACAGCTCGCCAGTGTTTGTTATTGATTGATTTCTTGATGCTAGCCATTCCTTCTGGAGTGAGATGGAATCTCAACCACCAGAAAATTTTAAATAATAATACAGTGGAAAGCACAGGCGAGTTTTTTTTTTAAGTTAATGGGAAATGAAGTAAAGAGAGGATTTGAGAGGGTCAGAGGAAGTTGACATGGGTTTTGAATAAGCAAGTAGAATGAACAGTATCCAGTCATGTGAACAGGGTAGCAGTAAGTCCAACATCAGCACAGCATAGGGGTACGAAGGCTCAGGCTGCTGGGAGAACAAGGATCAGGATTACTTAGGATTGCCAGGGCCTCCAGCACAGCTTCCAGACAAATAACAACCTGAAAACTGAAGTAAAAATCCCTCTTGCTGCCCTGCTGAAAACATTCCTGCATCAGCCCAAAGCCGGACCTAGAAATCCAACTAGAAGACAGTTACACACCTCCCCTCAGCACACTTTACAGCATCTCTTTGTGCTCAAGCACTTTGATGGGCATTCTGGGAAATACAACACACGGTAAAGCCGGGAATCCCTGATCAATATCACTGAACACTGCCTGGACAAATAAATGGGAAAAATATGAATCAAAAGATAATGAAGAGTTGAGCAAAAAGAAAGCACAATCCAGGAATAGATGCGTGAGAGCCCAAAATTCAAGAGAAAAGATACAGCTTTTTTCTGTTAAACTATGACAGTACCTAGATTTGAGCAAATGGTATTAAGAGTATGTTCTACTATCATGAAAATGGAATAATATCTCAATGAAATAATACACAGGTATCCCTCAATTCTTAATGGAATTAGGTCCTGATAAACCAATTCCATGTTGAAAACGTACCTCGTACGCCCAGCCCACCCAACACCCTAGCTTCGCAGCTGAGCACTGGCTGCCTCGGTCACTACTGCTGGGCAAACTGAGAGCTGCCGTGGTTGTTACCACCACGCTGATCAAACCAGCTTTTACTAGTTGGGGAAGAGATCTAACAAACTCAAGTTTCCCAGTGGAAACTGTTACTGAGTGCTTGGTGCTTTTATACTTTCATAAGGTTAAAAAAAAAGAAAAGAAAAGAAAAGAAAAGACGGAATAAAGTAAGTCTAACCATGGTTAAATAGGGGGCCATCTGTACAACAAAATGAAGCAACCATCTTAAAACTGGTCAAAATAGGGGCTGGAAAAAGCTCAGAAGCAAAGCAATTACCTGGTAAGCTCAAGGTTGTGAGATTGATCACCCTCTACCTCGGGTACAAAAAAAAGTCAAAATACTATTACACTAAATATTTGACCTCTAAATTTCTAGATTTTGTTATAGTCCCCAGATCTTATAATTAAATAAACTCACAGTGACCTGTAAAAAAGGAAGGACAGTTAAATAAAGTCAAAGGCCATAAATATGCTATCTGAAAAGAATTTGATAGGAGTTGAGGGTGTAGCTCAAGTGTAGAGCACTTAACCTAGCATGGGTACGGGTTCAATTCTCAGTACTGCATGTATATATTTTATCCTGATAGGATTGTGGAGAATGGAAAGAAATTCCTCATCAAATGGTTTTAATTTTTCTATGAGAAGAGAAAAGAGGAGAGGCAGGGATAAAAGATATTTACCCAATGTAAATAAATTTCACTAAAACAATCCATGAAGTCTTTTCAGCAGGGCGAGTTGAGAACCCATCCATTTAGGCACAAAACCATGCCTGTACTACGCAGCCCTTTCTAAAAACCACAAAAAGCCAAAATGTTTTCAGAATTACATTTTCCATATCACCTGAGCTAATATGCTAGAGTAAGATGAAATATTACAAATCTGATTTTTGAAGGGTGTGCTTCAACCTGCATTTCTCAGTGTGGAAAATGAAGCTAATCCTTTTGAACTGACTGACTGCAGAAGCCAAAGCCGTGGGGAAACATTTTCTGGTTCTCTAGGCTGTTCTTCGAGGGAACACTTTCCAAGTCCTCTTGGGAAGTGATGATGTAGGACCGCCTTACAGAAACCAAACACCACATGCAGATCCCCAGGACACAGCGCCACACATTTGTCTGATCTGGACGGCGTCCGTGGGGCTTCTTTGTAGCTAAAGGCGGATATATGTGGCCTTTTGTTTGTTTCAAGCTGATGCCACGGACAATCAGTGTCCTGCATGAGACATGGCACAGAGTGTGCATAACAGGTATTTGTTTAAAAACAAAAGATGAAGACAGATACAGACTTTTATTTCCATTCTCCATATATTCATCCGACAGCTAAGGGGCCTCTGGAATCTTGTATTTATCCATGAACATTTTAAATAAATGTCTGCAGACAGTTTTCCGAGGAATTAAAAGAAACAAGCAAATGCCTTGGTGGGAGAAAAAAATATGGATTATTTCCTGAGAAACAAGACTATTTGAAGTGAATTTAATAGGAGCAGAAAGTAAACAGCCCCCTGCCCCCCCCTCCACCCCCAGACTCTGGCTTTTGCAGCTCGCAGCCCGGGTCTCCATTGCAGACCGAGGCCCCGGGAGCCGGTGCCATACAGGTCTCAGTGGGAGGACTTCTTAACATTTGGCTCATTCTCCTCTCCTACCCCTTTCCCTTTCCACTTCTTCACTTCCGCCAGCCGTGGCATTGTTTTAATCACCTCCAAGGTGGTTTGAACAAGACAAGGTCTGAGAGAGAGGAAGAGACAATGTCACAGTTGTCCTTAGACAAAGGCAGAGTAGGATGCGAGAGTCATGCAGAGGACAGGGTGCAAAGCCTCATCTGCAATGCAGGGCCTGACGTCCCCAGATGTTACCAAACATCATCATCCCTCCCTGCAAGAAAAATTGGATTAGTCACCGTCTTGTCTTCTAATGGACACACTCTGTGCTCTTTAGAGCTTCATTTACTGGGTTAATAGTGCTTTGCCTGAGTTCCTTTGCCATGGGAAAAAAAAAAACTGTAAGAAGAAATATTCAGGGTGCAGTCCACAACCACTGACACGAGTAATATCGTATTCATCACAGACAGACCTCGTATCTCATTACTACTGAAGAGCTGCCCCCAGGCATCGGAGCCTGGCCAGGCCAGGCCTCTCATGTGGAACCGTTCAGGTATATTGTGAAATGATTTAATGCGATAATAATGTCCACTTTGCGAGATAGATTATGTTTTTTATAGTGGCTGATGGTTAATGAATGATACATTAGCAAACATCACTAAAACGTTATTGGGAGATGCAGATGCAGATACGGGGCGCCTATTTTCCTGCTACCTCTTGGCTCTCTCCCCACGCGGCCCTGCCACCGCCCTCCCCCCATGCCGATGCCCAAAGATGCAAAGCAGAAAGACAAGAATCAGAAAACTTAATTTATTTAAAAGGAAAAAAAAAAAATCCCAGCTGTATGTCACTGCGTCTCAGCGTCTCTCCTTTGGCAGAAAGAGGGATGAATACTAAAAACGTACAAACATGACCTGAAATATCTCTTCTGAAATCAAATGAGAATCAATAAAAGTGTGAACCTGAACAAATACATTATATGTTGACCCAGTTTATTAGATGATGCCGTTTACCCTGATTTGATTTATCTGGCAATACACAGCTCAGCTGTGAAATGAAATAAGCTGAGCCCGTTCACCTTATTTACTATATCATCACAGAGCTCCCCAGCACAGCCATGGTTAAGGGGCTGGCAGCGTTTCCATTACAATCCCCTGTTCAGCAGCTGGCTGGCTTTACTTCCAGCTGCTTCTTGGTAAGGCCAACCCCCAACCCAGGAGCACAGCCTCCAAATAGATGGACGTCATTCCACTGTCCTATTCAAATCTCTGCTGCTCATAGCCAAGGAGATCCTGGATGTCCCCGGGTACATGAGCTTGGTCACACTCTTGGTAAAGAGATCAAGAGGGACCTCCTTTGTATTTTGTTTTTATCCTTCTCTCATTGGTCTTCCCTAAGCAGATGTTTCCATGATGTTTTCATTTTCATTTGTGCTCATTCGAGAAAGCAAAAAACGCACCTGTTTCCCAGGCCCAAACACCACCATCTGCAGGGCTTCATCCAGAAGGTCATGAGGGACCACCATTGTAGAAAACAGCAAGGCACCTCCCCGGGAGGGCAAACGGACGGATCCTGTTATTCTGAACTTTTCCATCCACACCTACAGTCCAGATGCCCATATCCAGTGTAGTTGTTGTAGAAACACAAAAAGACAGGAAAGAGAGAGGATTGTTATTACTAAAGGTTTTGCTTGAAGGGAAGCAAGCATCAGTCAGATTCATTCCTCTCCTAGCCCTACAGATCACGTAGCCCATAAAACCACACAGGGCCCAGAATATTTTATGTGCTCCCCCAATGGGTCTCCAGACTTTGGTGTGTGACGCACTAAGCCACAGCCCAAAGCTGGTAAGCAGGAATCTGAGGGAACCCATGGTAGCAAAGCCATCACCCGCATCTCTTATGAGGTGTCCTCCAGTCTCTGCTTGTTTGCAGTTACAGTCACTGGGCAGAGAGAACGGCTAAGCCTGTGGTCAGAGGAAACTGTGGGTGCTGCAGCAGGCTGGTCCTGGGTGTTAGCCTTGCCTTCTCCTGAAAGGCTACTAAAATAAAGGAAATAAAAGCAGCCCCTAGGGACAAAGAGAGTAAGAGAACCAGCAGAGAGACAAGGTAAACCAATTTGGGGATGTTAGTAAGAGGTAGTTGACATAGCAGAATAGAGGAAACTGCTCTGCAGCTAGAACATTCAAACAGCTCAACTTCCGCTTATTCCAGAGCACACAACACAGATTCAGTCTGAATAAACCCACCCAGAGAGGTACGGTACAGTAGGGGAAAGGATCCTACAAGCAGGAAGGTAGTAGAAAGTCTGTGCTACAGTTTGGATTTAGAATGTTCCTCATAGGTTCCTGTATTAAAGGATTGGTGACCAACCTACGGTGCTACTGAGAGCTACTGGAATCCTTAAGAGGCGGGGCCGGTGGGGAGAACTTAGATCCCTGGGCACACTGCCAGGACCGCAGAGTCTGATCTCTTCCTCAATCTTCTTGCATTCTGGTCACTCCTTCTTACATTCTTTGCTTCATGCACACTTCCCGTGGTGTTCTGCCCCACCATGGGCTCTACAGCAATGGAGCCAACCATGGACTGCAACTGTGAGCCAAAATAACCTCTCCTTTGTCTAAGTTGATTTTTAACCACTACTTAGCATTATGGGACAAAATTCAAAAGAAGTGGCTTAAAGAAGGACAAGTGAGGGTTGGGACAGCAGGCAGAGGATAGCCCGCCATGACTAAGGGATTAAATAATAAGCCTCTTAGTATTCATAAACTCTTAAAACAATATACAAAAAAATAAGAATGTAGAGAGCAGTCAGAAAGGAAATCCCAGTAAGTGCGCAGGTTCCCCTCCCTCTTTTCACTTGATTTATCTCTGAACCTGAAGATGGCCTTAGGCTGGGAGGATCAGGAATATGCAAACACTTTCTCCTCTCTCCTGCTTTTTCTCCACCTCTGCCCTCTAGTATGTTATTCAACTTTCCATTGTTGTGAAAATTTACTTTAAATAAACAATTTAAGAAGGAAAAGATTTGTTTTGGCTCATGGCATTAAAGCATGGTTACTTTGTCCCTTCTCTTTGGGCTGCAGTGGCAAAGTGCATCATGGTGAGAGTGCGTGGCAGAGGAGGCCTGCTCGCTTCCTGGCAGCCAGGAAGCACAGGAAAAAAGGAAGAGGCCAAGGTTTTAATATCCCTTCAAGCACACCTCCAATAAAAAGGACACCCCCCCAATGACATTTCTTTCTTCCACAAGGCCCCACCTGTAAAAGCTTGCACCACCTCCCACAAGCACCACAGGCTGAGGACCAAGCCTTTAGAATATGAGCCTTGGAAGGGTATCTAAGATCCAAGCCATAACATCCTACAAACATCAGCCTTTTCTCACTCACTGATCGCTTGTGACCTCTTTTCACTACACACCCCATATCAAGGGGTTTAGTACAAATCATTATTTCTCCTAAATATATAGTAGTCCCCACGTATCTGTATTTCAAAGCTCCCAATGGATGCCTTTATTTCTGGAATTTGCCATTGAATAATTTTGAGCCACAGTTGACCCCATATAACTGAAACTGTGGAAAATGAGACTGCAGATAAGTAGGAACATCCATAATTTTTCCTCTGGTTTCTTTTTCCTCCTTCTCTCTCTTCCCCCAGACCCAGAATTAGAATTTCTTCCTCAAGAAATCTATGCCAACCACCTTGAGGCACACACCATCTTACCTTGGACTTCTCTTCTGAAGTTGTACCTGTGCTCCTATGATCCTTGCATTAATGTCTCTCTCCCTAGTGTACACTACAAACAACAGTGTGCATATTCTTTCTCTCTCCTCACAGTTCTAATAACTCAGTAAGTAGCTATGCATAAAAGGCACTAAGAATGTGCTGAATGAGGGTCGGGTATATAGTTCAATGATAGAAATGTGCTTAGCATATATGAAGCCCCGGGTTCCATTCCCAGCACCACTGGGAAAAAATAATTTATGGATGGATGGATGAATGATTGGATAGATGGATGGACTGAGGGACAAAATCACAAAGTAAGAAATAACTGAAATTGACACTTTTAGTGGAGAAACCTAATTCTCTCACACTGTAAATCCAGAAAGAACGTTCCCATCGAAGTGAATGCTCCTCAGTCTCTAAGCTCATACTGCATAGCATTTAGAATGACGAGAGACACTTGTGCCCTAGGTTTGCGGTTAAGAAATGCTCCTGTCTCTCCAGGACTCTGCCTCCTAGGAGGTCATCCACCTCACTCTGTCATAGCTCAAGAAACAGAGAGGCAGCAGCAATATCTAATGACGCCTTGTTGAAAAGTAGATTGGAAACTGGTAATCAAATGGTATTTTAAATGCCCACAATCTTGCCTATTTTAAAGATTATTTGCTTTGTACTTATTTATATGCAAATATCGTTCTATTTTCTATTATTGTACCTAACAATAAATCCTAAAGCATTAATAAGAACAAGTCACTGATTTGGGGACAGACCAATAGGATTTTATGAATTTCAGAAGTTAATTTTACTCATGTTGTTTGGTGACATTGCTTAAAGATTACCAATTTTCCAACAACACGCCCAAATCTAATCTGCTTCTTTTCCCCTGGGTTGGGTAGAAGGTAGCTTTTAACACCTGCCTTCTTGGACTCATTTGGGTTCCAGTGTTGTACTTAATCGTCAACTCTGCAGTCCTTGTAGAAGCAACAAAATGCTGCTGAAAGAGCCCAGAGGCCCAAATTACGCTTCCTTGAGATAGTGAGAAAGACTGGCCAGTGTTTCCTTTGGACCTTGCTTTTGCATTATGCAATCACCACCTTCCAGTGGTTTGGTTTGGTTTGGTTTTGAGACAGTCTTGCTATGTAGTTCAGGCTACATAACCTCCCAAGTGATAGGATTACAGACATGTACCCCCATACCTGGCCCTTCCTTGTGTTTTATATTTCTTCTCTCTACTACCTTGCAGTATGCTAGCACAGGGAAAACTGGGAAGAGATTCTAATATTGCTTATTTTTTCCTGAATTCCAAATATTTCAGTGAATTTTCAGAAAGCATTAATTATTTGGAGCCACTAGAGTTTTCCTTGTGTTTGAGCTTGAACAAGCTTTCTAACCCTTCTGAACCATGAGAATAGAATTTTCTGCTTCATGGTTTTGAGAGAGTAAATTCAGTGAAGTATGCACCATCTATACCAGAATGTGAAATGTGGATAAACCAAAGATAATCCCAATTTTACCAGAGAAAATTTTAGCAAACAGAAAAGGAGTATCACGAGACATGTATTGAAATTGAACTTAATGTGACTTTGGAGAGCAAACATATGATTTGTTTCATTTTAATGTATTAATATGATTAGATTTATATCATGGTCTGAAATCCAACTAGAAATCAGGTTTCTTTCTAAGCCTTGTGTTTGGTCTATACACATCACTTTTTCCTATTTTTCTTTGTAATGCAGTCTTTGATTTCTAGGTGGGGAGAGGCTCACCGAGATTAAGGATTATATTTTTCATTTCTAATGTGTTAGCAATAAAAACATGCTATGTGTGACAGCTCTTAGGAGATCTCCTAAAAGTGGTAGCTTATGTCCACCATTGCTTTTATCCTTCTCTCTGCTCCTTCTGGGTGGGTAAAACATACTGCCTTAAGTGAGGTTTGGTAAAGCTTCCTAGGCCTTGTGCATCAGAACAAGCATGGTGGATCAGTGAGAAAAAGAGAAAGACCTAGATCCTTGATGAGTCTGGAGTTACTGGACCAGACTGTGGGCCCAGCCCAGAGCTGTTTTGATGGGAAAAGGAAAAAAATCTGTAATAAGATGCTATTTAGGGTTTCCTGCAGTACACAATAGAACAGAGTCCTACTTATTATATGAGCATTTTAAATTCTCTTCCAAGGACAGTGCTTCCTATGTCTTGAAACTTGCACTCTACTCCCTCTTTTAGCTGGTGAAAAAATAAGCCTATTTATGCTCATTTGTCACCTGTTTATGAAGTCTGTTGTGCTGAAATTGAATTTTCATTAAAAGTCACTTCTAAATCTTAAATTATACTAGTAAAATTGATTATAAATGTTGTGAGGATCATTTCCCATCACAGGGAGAAAACACCCAATACCTCCAGTGTAAAGTAGGAGAAATATTTTTGGCTCACAGTTTTCAAGGCCTCAGTCCACGGTTGCCTGGCTCGGAAGAACATTCACCATGCCAGGAAAACCAGCAGCATATAGATGATGTAAGGTCTTCTGTGAGCATGGGCAGTAGTCATGTGCCTGGGACCATGCATGCAGTGGCCTCTGAAGGCCTGGGTGGTTGAGCATGGAAATGAATCCAGGAGATCAATTTGCTATGTGGCCCTGCTCAAATATGAAGTTCAGGATAGATGTCTCTGCTCAAATGAATGTTTTATATTCTTGTACCTGTTAATCTGGGGGTTTGCTGATTGCTGAAATGCCTCCAAGGCATCTTTCTTCTATTCCTAGTCCCAAGTACTTGGCGTATTCTTAATGTTGCTAATATTTTCAGCAACTATGTCTCCTTTGACTTCAGTTTCACATATGGTACTTGTGAGGCTAAAATTTAAGTTTTCAAATCTTTTTACTTACTTTGT